ACTAACATATAATTCCCAAGTAAAAATATAAATCCTAAAATAAAAATAAAAATTTCTTTATAGATAAAAGGCACACAAATCTGTCTTCGGGGATCTTCAGGACTAGCAGGTTTAAGATTGCATTTTCACATCTTTTTAAAAAAAAATTTTTTTTTAATGTTTATTTATCTTTGAGAGAGAGAGCATGAGCAGGGGAGGGGCAGAGAGAGAGGGAGACACAGAATCCGAGGCAGGCTCCAAGCTGTCAGCATGGAGCCCGATGCGGGGCTTGAACTCATGAACCGTGAGATCATGACCTGAGCCGAAGTCTGACGCCCAGCCGACTGAGCCACCCAGGCACCCCGCATTTTCACATCTTAACCACAATTTAGTGCTTTTTATTTGACCAAAATAAAAGGACCAAGAAATATGCGCAGAATTTTTATGGGGAGTTGTTACAAACCCAAATGGCAGGTTATATGTGTTTTAAACCACAACAGCAAATTGTCAGCAGGAGTTAGAATTTAACTCAATTTAAGTCAATCCCTAAAGGACTATGTGGCTTCCTGATCCAGGATTGGTCTGTTTTTTTTTTTCCCAGAATAAAAGTCCATTTATGAGAAGAGAATAGTCCTGAGAAGATATTTGAAGATATGTAGAAATAATCTGAAACTTGAAACCAAGCATTTGAAAATTGTGAAGCAGCTTTCTATTCGAGATCTGAATATTGGTAGTTGTAATCACTGTAGATTGGACACAGTGACTGAGATGTTGCCGGAGGTCTGCAAATAATTCACTTATAACAGCTGGATTTTTATGACTTTATCATTTTCACTGATGGATCCCCAATGCTTCTTGACTGACTCAGATTAGGCCCTCAGTACCTGTAGTTGATAAAAAGATAGCATCAGAGATAGGTGCTGTGCAGTAATGGGATGACAGTGAGAAAGTTTTCAATTTAAACAAAGAATATTTAAAAGGCAAATATAAATTCCCAGGCTTTCAGTCTAAGATAACATATAGAAAACTAAGAGGAAGAAAGATTTTAGCCTTGTGAGGCTTTTCGAATTCCTGAATGAACTTATTTCTTTATTTCCCGTCAAAGTGAGCACAGAGAAAGTAAATTTGATTAAGAAACCTCAGTGAAGGGATTTTCTGTCAGAAGAGTTTTCACAATGAGCAAATCCCAGCCCCGTTTACACAGGCTGCCTCCAATTTACACAAGCTAGGCTAACGCACATTCATCTTTGTTCATCTGGGTTTGCACTTTGGGGATGAACGAATGGAGTTGGGGATGGAGGTTGGGTGGGCGGCACAGGGAGATAGGCTGTGTCTCTCTTTTCCTTGGGAACAGTTTTTGATTTTCCTTTCCCTGTGCCTTTCCCTTCCCTCTGCTCATCGAGAATGTGGCTGCTGTGGATCATCCCCTGACCATCCTCAGAGTGGTTATAGAGCCACAGCCTAGGGTGGTGACAAAATGCTAACTATTTGTGACCTACACTTCTGTGGCTTTATCTTCTTTATGTGAAGGGATCCCCAGAGGGAAGCTTTTCACTCCTTGTGTACTTACCATTGTTATTAGCTGGAAAGTTTCTGTGAAACATCAGAAATGTTAATGAGCTCGGTTAGGAGGCTGGAGGATAGGGGTCTTTAGGCTCCTGCTTCCTTGTCTGAAACTCTAGACACCACTTATTTTGACTTGGAACTGGGGTTCCTCAGGCAGAAGCAGAAGAACTATACCATTTTGATAGTCTCATTTTAATCAAATCATCTCCTTACAGAAACTGTTATGAACGGGAAGTAGGATCTAGGATTATTAGCAAGCTCTGCTCTCTTAATTTAGTGTTACCAAATTGGCTTTTGGATTTGGCTCTGGGTAGAACAAAGTGGGGAGGCGGATGGATGAATGCTACTATTCGTTCAGTCTGCATTATCTTACGCGGACCATTCGGGAGTCTCAGAACACATGTGAATCCTCAAATACAAACACCATTGCACTTAAGCAGAATGAACTCTTGGCTCCCAGCTCAAGTGAGCAGAACCTTTGCCTTTTTTTTTTCCTTCCTGATTAGGTGATGCTTTAGCCGTCTTTGTGGTGCATCTGCTTCTTTTCCCACTTACCACCCACGCTCCATTTGTGGTTGAGTGACAGTATATGCTGTTTAATTGCATTGCTCCTTCTCCTGGGTGAGACTGGGAGAGAGAAGGGGGATTAAGTTGCATATGGCTAGCTCAGTTGCTATTGAACGATGCCCTGACTGATGCCTGAGGTCTGCAGAGGATTTTCTTTGGATTCTGATCAATGGAGTGCTGGACACTGAGGACAGCAAATGGCCATTTTCTCTCCTGCCTTTAAAATGAAGTATGTCCTCTCTGAAGGGCAATCTATCTAGGCTGGCTCTCAAGTTTAAATGTAAACGACAGTGTGTTCCTTACTTTGAAGGCAGACACCAGCTTATCCCATTGATGGCCAAGATGCTTTGTGGAAGGAAGCGGCTTTTGTTACAAGTTTAAAATTCAGCCAGTATTATATCTCTGCTGGAAGCTTGATGGGAAGACGCCTTTAATGTGGTGCGTGTATCCTTTAAATGGCTGGGAGCTCCTGGGACTGGAACCTGGTGCCCTGTCTGTGCAGAGGTCAGCTGGTGAGTGTGCCCTGCTCTCTTTCCTCAGAAAGACTGGCACTGATTTTTTTCCCATTCAAGTAGAAATCATAGGAAAGTCTGAACAACACAAATATACAAGAAGGTATGGTTTTTTAAAAAAAAATCTTTTTCTCAACAGCTTACTATTGAATAAGTCAGTTGTAGAGGGACAACATTATCACTGCGTAGGGATGCCTCATGTGCCTGGTGCTCCAAAAAGGGTTCTGTGTTGCCATCCGTCTCACCAGGAAGCAGTATGTTCTATGATTGGGGAAGATAAAAATAAAAGATTGCACGCTAAAAAAAAAAAAAAAAAAAAAAAAAAGGACTTGTGACCAGTTCATTTTATTTAAAAATATTCATCCCAGTCTGAGATTTCCTGTTTTGTGATTTGAGTAGTAGAGCCTGCAGTGGGGCTTTTTGGGTGGGTTCCTTCTCCCGAGATAGGCTGATTATGAGTGCTGAAACCTGGTCCCCCTGCCATTGTAAACTGTCCTGGGAAAACAATGAGAAGTTATTCGCCTTCTAGTGTCCTCAACTAGAAAAACACAGTGACTTTCCTTCTCTGCATCGCATCTAAAGACATTATGAGAATATGTAAGCAAAGTAGGGTAATTACTCTTTAAAGATTTGGCGATCGTAGTGAAATATTTGTTAAACTAACACCTGACAAACTAACATCTGATTCATTATCTTTTCTTCATGAAACAAAGTAATGAAACAGCTCTCAAGCCTTGTAGAAAGAGGGGACAGAGGGACACCTGACTGGCTTCATCGGTAGAACATGCGACTCTTGATCTCAGGGTCGTGAGCTTGAGTTGGGCATAGAGTTTACTGAAAAAATAAATTATTAAAAAAAAAGAAAAAGGGAGAGAATCATGAGGGCTAAGACTGTTAACCATGTCTAAGAATGTGTTTTTGTTGTTATCAGATTGAAGTTTTAAAAGTGTATAATTTTCCTGGCATTACAAAACAGCAGAATCCAATTGATACTGTCCAATGTACAAGTAGGGCTGTTGAGCTCGTTAAAGGCTAATGAAATAAACATGGGTTTTTGGGTTTTTTTGCTTTGTTTTTTGTTTTTATTTTTGTTTTTTTTATAACAGTAACTCCTCACTTTCTTCTCTAGCTGTGCTTGTGATTTTCCACCTTCCTTTTGGGAGAGCTACAAAGGGAAGAATATATTGTGAAACACTATGAACAGGTTCTAAAGGGACTAGGGAAGGGCATTGTCCCAGAGGAAGCCCAAAAAAGTCCTTCTCACTAACGGGAAAACCACTGTATGGCTGTGGCTCAGCCACATTTTTGTTGGGACACATGTTATTAAGTTAAAAGGACATCCACGATCCAAAAAAGAGTAGCTTGGTTGTAAACATTTTTTAAAAAGTATTTAGAAGAAGAAAAAATGCCAGATGGTGTTAAGAACACCCTGTGCTCCAGTCTTACCGCTTTCCCTGAACCATCTTCATTCCTAATGACTGTTTTGACACCATCACCACTGATTATCTTGAAGTACCTCAGGGAAGAAAATGTTTCAATTATGTTATATCAAGTGGCAGGCGATGATTCACCTGGTTAAGAACATATAGGAATCCTCCCCAAGTCCACATATTATCTTCCCAGGAGGCCTAAATGTCTATATGTGTTTCCTTGTAAATATTTACAAGATATTCCAGAGGAGGGAGTTGATAAGCTGCTACTTTTTTTTTTTTTTTTTTTTTTAGGAGATTAATTCTCAGCTGTTTAAGTCAGGGAGGGTTATACGTCCCGTACATAAGAAATTAATAGTGCTGGCTAGAAGTTCACTGACCTCTGAACCATGCATGCTGGCCCATACAGTGGCAATTATTTTCTCCTTTGGCTTTTGGACGAGGTTAAGTGCTGGGTTCATCCTGATTACTGAGTTGTATCCTTTCATTCAATGAGTCTCCCTTTCGGGTACATTAACAGCAACATCTAGGAATGTTAAACCCTCTTTACTTCATCACATGGCTTAATGTTTATTTGGTGTTTAACAGAAGCCTTTGGTAATTTAACAATGAGTACCTGTATGCCCCTTAGAATGATGGAGAGTGGTTTTAGGTGTTCCTACCCCCCTCTCCCTTTTGCCTCTGCCTTCCTCCCCCTCTTTGGAGGGCCCACTTTTTCTCCCAGGGTAACGTGGCTGAGCCCAGATTATGCTGTGTGCTCACTGACAGCTCCTTTCGATTCCGGCTTAATGCAGCTCCCTAATGCAGCCTCACGTGGGGCTGTAAATGACACAGTGAGGACCGGGCTACTCCCAGCCTTTCCCGGACGCGCTCACCCGGGTATTGCCATAGCGGTGGCAAGTAACGCCAACTGTGCCCGTCTTCTCCCCAAACGGCAGCGTTGATTCTTTTCTGGAAAGGAACCTTGGAGAAGGGAAGGGCTGAGATTTAAAAGGCAGGAATTCATGTCATGTGCTGCAGCAGAACTGCCGTAGCAACAGCAGCAGCAGCAGCAGCAGCAGCACCCGCAGCGGCAGCGAGTCATTTAGTGAGACTGCACCATTTTCTTCTCACCCTGCATAGAGGTGTGGTTGGAAGCGGCAATAAACTACCCACCCCCTAGCAGTTCCACAGAGGTGGCCTCTTCCTGGCTCCAGTCGGAAGACACAGACTGTCTGGAGGAGTCCCCAAAGACTGTTCCAATTGGTGATGTGTGTCTAAGGAAGGCTTTTTCAACTAGTAGGATGCTTGCCTGCACTTGCGGCCACCCAACTGCTGAAGAGCTCCAAGTCTAGTGCTCCGCCTTCCCCTGGGACCATTTCCCAGTGTGGGTGCACACCTATGCCCGCGTGTGTGCAGGTGTGTGCTGCTGGGGGGCTTGGCCTGGGACCTTGGTACGTTCTGGTGAATTATGGGTGCTGCAGAGGCTGGAGCAAGATTATGACCTAGCTCGGGGGCGGAGTGGATTATTTTGTGAGTGCTCTGGCCGCCAGCCATTGCCCTGGTGGGGAAAACCGTATCTCCATCTAGCTCTAAAATCACCTGGCTTGCTGGGGAGTGGAAACTGAGCCGCCGAAACTGCTTCTGCTGATTTTCTCTGCAAAATGGCTCACGCTGCTGCTTCTATTAAAAAAGTTCGAGAGGCTGAACTGGATGAAAAAGAAAAAAACCTTGAGAGAGAGAGGAAAAAACAACGGAAAATCCCCAGGGAACGTATGGAACGGAAAAGAAAGGTAACGAGGAGCATCCCTTTAACCCTTTGCCTCTGAGGCTACGTGTAGAAACCCACCGTCCTCAGAGCCGGCAACTTCATCTTCCCTTCCCTCCATCATTCCCCTGCACCATTCCCAAGCTCAGTTTGCAGCCTATAGCTCATGTCCAAATTTGCTGCATTGGGAGGAGATGCCTGAGCAGGGCAAATTTCCTTCGCTTTAACCAAGCCAAACCGCACTTCGTTTTTCTCTGGTTTTCTCAGTTATGTGTACTCAATCTCAGAGCCAGGTGCTTTATGCCTCCAAGTAACTCCCAACACTTGTCTTAGGAGAAGGAAAGGGCTGATTGATGGTTAGCAGGGTAGAGTATTTTTCTCTTCTTGTTCCTCATCTCTACTTACTAGACCTTCAGCACAGCGCCTTCTCACTGACGATATGTGTTATGTAGATCGCTGGTAGGAATAAGCCTCAGGTTTTATTTACTCCTTTTTCTTTCCCCTTCCGGAGGTGCACACTGTTCTATGTGAAACTGCACTAAGAATATTGGTGCAGTGAGCTGTGTCCTTGCATCTTTAAAATTGTAATTCATTTATTTTCTGGTTTCCATCAGTAATCTTACGATTTTCTCTCCTGGCTGTAGCAATTAGGTGAAAAGACCAAGGTTAAATAACAGGAAGAAACGCAGATTCCCTCTACATTAAACTAGAGAATTGTCTCTTTCTGTCTTTCGAAACATTATTTTTTTCTTTACAATAGAAATAATCTTACACCTGGGCGGAAGGGAAGTGTTCATTTAGTCAGTGGTCTGGTTCTATAAGGGAAGAAGATCTCTGTAAATGCCTTAATTAACAAAGTAGGTCACTGAATAATTTCAGAATGTGATAAACAGCATATTACATTAGCAAAGCATAAAAATAGTGGTTGGTACACAAGCTGTTGTTAAACATAACTCGGAGGTTGAGGATACACTGCAGATCAGATGCTCAATAATCCATATGTTCAGTGCTTCCCCCACCCCTCTTCATTAATAGGTATGTTTACCTTTCCATTTTGAGGATGCTATCTTTGCCTAATTTTCGGAAAGACACGTGAGGACCCACATTGAATTAAGATCTTACTATGTAGGGATTCGTCCCATTTCAGTTTTACTACTTATTTCACCACTAGTTAGTGGAAGTAACTATTATTAGGCAACATAATTAAATAAAATTAGAAGCATATTCTTGTTTTTCCTTCTGGGAGAAAACTTTAGTATTGCTTGTCTGACCTTTAGAAGGCCTTGTTTCAAGGATGCCGTAATTCTTTTTTTATAATACCTTGGCCATTTTTGTGGGAGCTGGCTTACTTCTTGACAGTTACCACAGTTCTGCTTCTAATCCTCTAAATGGAACATTATTACATAAAACAATTTGCTGTGATCGTATCTTTTTTATCTTATATTCTCCAAAACATAGTATATTGCTTCTTGGCCAGGACTGTTCAGCATCCAGTTGTGACCTAGTAACTTTGCTTAGCTAGAGTACCACGCATACACCTAGAACATTTCTTGGTCTCGCTGTGGCTTGTTTCTGTATCTAGTTCACTTTTCCCCTTTTCTATCCGTTCTTGAAATGGAAAGACTACATCATTAAAATGGAAAGGTGCCAATAGTTGTTGAGAATCTCCATTGTTTTAGCTGCATTGCTTTAGCTTGAATCCAGCACCGTGGCAAGATCGATGGTTAATCATGCAGTCTTATGACAGCATTATCTGATCTTCACATCCAGATAATATCATTAAGCTAGAACCAAGGAAAATTGGGGGAATAATCGCATAGCTATTATTTGTTCTTGTTCTTTTTTTTTTTTTTAACATACCTTCTGGACCTCTTCCCTTTTATACTGCAGATGCTTGAGTTTTTACACAGCATAACAAATGCTAGCTTAGAAGAGTGACTGACATTTTTAGGTGTTTTAGATTTATTTTCAACGCCCCCCCCATAACTACTTGATCCAGTTCTAAAATTTGGTTTAAGATAAAAAAGTGTACCTCATTATTATTATTTAAGGTATGTAGAATAGTAGTTCATAAAGAAATGAAAAAAAGGATAGTTGCCTATTAGTGATACTCTGGAACACCATCTCCGGAAAGTAACCTAAAACTTATTATACTTTATTTGCTGTTGCCTTTTTATAACCATAAAGAAATGCATCAGTAGTAGTGATGATTAAATATATCACTTAAATATCCATTTGTAAAGTATCTTGCGAAAGAACTTGCTTATTTGCAAAATTCAGATGAGACCTGCCCCAATTCAGGTAATAGCCAGCTGTGGAGCTCAAAAAAAATAAGCTGGTGTTGAAAATATTTTTACTGAAGTAAAAATGATTGAGTATTAAATCAATTAGGCAGCTTCATATTTGGATCTCATTTTAAGATTTTTGTAAACTTGCTGTTGATTAAAAGAATCTTTGCATTATTGTTTTATACTCTGTAAAACATTTTAGGTAAGTTTTAATTATTGTAAACTTGAAACACATTGCATGCTTGGCTATAAGCCTTCTACTAAGTTGTCAGTGGTATGTTTTTTTTTTTAAATGACTAATTTGTATAGTAGGGGATCTAGTTTCAACCTCAGTATAAGCAGAATTTATCTTGGAATAAAATGTTCAGTCTTCTTTGAGTCTGGATAGCTAATATTTAAATATAGCGTATATTAAATATATATAGTATATGTGTCATACTATGATAGAGCTAGAATAAAGCTTACCTTTAAGCAAAGGGACCAAGATTAAGATTAGTTGAAGCAAACAAACATTTTTTGCCCCAAATGGTACACTGATATTCTAGGTTTTTACAGGAATAAGAGGATATTCCTATACTAATTATTAGCTTATATGAACTGAAGTCATTTCTTTGTAAGTCCACATGTCTTATTTCTACACTAGAACCTGAGACATTAGACTTGAGAAGGATGCCAAAAGGAATGATTTCTCACAGACTTGTAAGATTTAGTTGTAGGAAGTGATTTTGAGTATAATATTCTCTCCACAATCACTTTTTTTTTAATTTGGAAAAACATAATTTCAGAGAATCTGTAAAAAACAAAACCAAACAATTCCATCCTTGGAAAAAGCATATACTTAAATAACCCTTCTTATTTAAATTTATGATTACCAGTTATTTTCAAATAGTAGATATGTTTTCCATTTCTCAGCATGGACAGGCCATTCTCTAATCCATTATAGTGTCTACAACATTCGCTGGAATCGTATGTCATAAAAGGCAATCTGTATGACTGGTGCTTAGCATTGTGATGTTTAAGAAGTTCTTCCTTTATTATTTTAGTTTATACTATTCAAAAAGCCAGAGTTCATGTTTTCTGTATAAATTATATGATAATAATATTTATTGAGTACCATTATGGCCCTGTATCTGGCACTTGATATACATTGTACTGTTTAATCAAGAGACAGGTCTACACATTAGGGATTATTCTCTCCATTTTGCAAATAAGGAAACTGAGACTCAGACTCATGGAAACTGCTGTATCATATGCAGCTATTATGTGGCAGAGTTGGGATTTGAATCCAGGCTCCAAAGTTCATTGGGAAAAAGAGGTGATGATTCCTTGGTCTTGTACATACACTGAATGTAGGGAATAAGTAAATAATTTAATCTGTCAATGCTTCAATTGCTTCATCTTCAGAATACCTCCCTACACTGAAAGGGATTTTAGTTCCTGTAAGAAGTTAAATGACATGTTTGAGAGGAAACTATGTATTTAAGTTTGTGATTCTATCATAATTGCTTCAAAATATTCCATGAGATTTCTTGGAAAATCAACTTATTAAAAGTTAACATTTGCTCCTTAAATATAGCAGTTGCGGTCAAGGATAGACTATGATATATTATCACTCTTTGTTACAATTGTATCAGGACTTCAAAATGTATTTGCATATTCACATTCGCAAGCTGACACAGGAAGGTGATTTTGCAGGGGATTTACGTAGAAAATGAAAGCAAACTTTTTTCCAAGTCTTTTAAATTGAATTTCATAGGAAAAGGTTCTGATCAGTTATTTGCTTTTATTTTTTCTATATATAATTTTTATCTTGAAGGGAACAAGGCTCACTGTTTTTAGGATAACCTTTGGGAACCCTCACTGACACTCCCCCCCCCCCATATTCTTGTCCACATGGTTATTAAGTTGATGACAATGAGAATACGTATTGAGTATATATAATGGACTTATCATCCAGTTGTAAGGAGACATGGAGAGATGGAGACTTTCTAAAGTTATTAATTCGTGTACTTTATTAAAATGGAAGAATGTTTTATTTGCAGTTGTGGAGATGAATATATTCTGTAACTTTTTTATTGTGTTATAAGAATGAGTTTGTAAAGAAACACAATAGATAATGGCTGACTGTGGCATTTTTCTGGTGGTCTGTAGGTGAACCCTATGGTGTAGGAGGAAGGTGGATAGCCCAATCATTCTTTCTATCCTTCAGTGTTCTGCTCAGACACTCAGCAGCATGATTTCAAAGGCAAGACCAACACTGACAGCAACAATACTTAGCCAAGAACCAAGTACAAAAAGATTTCCAGGCACTAAACCAAACATAATGTGATGAAAAATATAATGACAACATGATAGTGTGATCCTTTGTATTTATTACATGCTAGATCTTTTCAAATGTGGTAAATGCCAATAACACTTTTTAGGACTCACATCAAATTGTCTTTATATAACTTCTTATAACCCCTTCATCAATACGTCAGTACTTACAGAAACCACACTAACATAAGGTAGGTTGGTGATTTCTTGAGCTTTACCTGGACATTTGCTCTTCCTATGTCCTAATGTCTACTTATAAGTAAAAACTCAACAGTTTTGTTGTTGATTTCCCATTTGAGTCTAAATAAATATGTTCAGGTATATCTACTTACATGCGGAGGTTTCTATGCAATCATGATTTTTTTAAACCCCATTTTCTTCTTCTTTAACATTCCTTCTATCCCCTTTTGTAGTTCAATTC